TGTGAAATAGTGTATAGCGAATTTCACAGAAGAGATTGTATCTGCTTTATCAGGCTTTATCTTGGACATGTAATTATGTAATGGTAAAGTATTGGATTTCTTGTACATGACAGGAACTCAATATTCTGCTGTCCTGAGTATTGCACACTTGCTTTCTTTTAGATGGCTGTGTTATAGTTCTTGTTTTGTTCAGCACTTTGAGTGTTGTGTATGAAATGTGCTATACAAACAAACTTGCCTTGCTTTACCATGGTATATTACACACCGAGATCCAAGGCATTTTAAATATGATTTATTTGATTCCATAAAAAAATAAGACATTTCCCCTTTTAATGTTCTTATTTATGTGATTGCAGATTGTAGCAAAACTGCTAATTTATATGTGTATAACAAAGGCAGGTCACACAGTTAAAACAATGTAGCACTAGTCTATTATTAAAGGTACAGTAAGCGATGTTGTTAGCTTAGCCATAGCACCAACTCGAAACCACTCCCCCCTCCCCTCCCCTCTCCACCAAACCAAACATCCAGCATTTTCTTTTCCTTGTCACATCAGGGAGAGTGGGTGGCAAACGTGAAATTGGCATTTTCTGTTCAACCCTTTAGGTTTTAGAAAATCCGATAACTCAGGTGCGCGCACTCGTGAGAAACAGGAAGAGGGTGAAGGGAGTAAACTCATCCCATATAGGCATCTGGTCAATTCCACTACTATTTGAAAACACATGATAACTTGACTACTTTTAGGGTTTAGGGACGTTTCTCCACAATATTTAAAAAAGTTTGTCTGGAAAAAATCACTGACTGCATCTTTTAGCTAAATAGGGCTTTGTTGTAAATTGGTGTCCATTACTGTGCATTGTCCATGAAATTAAAAAAAACTATATGAAAACATGAACATTGCATTTTGTACACAACAATTCTGAGCATAAATAATTGAAATATAGATACATTTTGTATACCCTCAAGTCAAAATGCCACTGTGAAAAAAAACAAAAACTAAATTGGGTCTGAATGGGTTTAATCATCAAAGATGGTTAAGAGTATGTTTTAATCACTGTGGTGCTTGAATTAGTTTAGTTTTTATAAAACGGGGACCTCACAAAAGACATGCACCCTTGAATACATAAGAGGTTTTCCTAAAATGCCTCGGCTAAATCAAAACAAACAAATACAATTTCTAATCGGATGAATCTTCATTGATGCTGACACAATCAACGAAATAAAATGTGCTCGTATTACAGCAAAATGTTTCATATCTACAGAACATTTCAGACTGTCTAGAAGCTGATTCCACTGTTTAATGATGCAAAATGAGAGAAGGCTGATTGAGCAAAAGCAGAGAATCTTTTTGAGATCACTCAGTGGTGGTTTACAGTGGACCGAGTTGATCGAGACAATTGTTCAGAACAAGTTTTGACATAGATTTTCAGAGGTGGTGGAGCTAAATCATTTAAATATGCTTCTTAGATTATCATATGTAGCCCCCTTAGTTTCCCCCTGGGGTTTCTGTAAGTGCGAGTGAAATCCAGCACAAGGGTTGAATAATTTTAATATGTACAGTGCCTTGCGAAAGTATTCAGCCCCCTTGAACCTTTCAACATTTCGCCACATTTCAGGCTTCAAACTTAAAGATATAAAAATTAATTTTGTTGTCAAGAATCAACAACAAGTGGGACACAATCGTGAAGTGGAACGAAATTTATTGGATAATTTAAACTTTTTTAACAAATAAAATACTGAAAAGTGGGGCGTGCAATATTATTCGGCCCCCTTGCGCTAATACTTTGTAGCGCCACCTTTTGCTGCAATTACAGCTGCAAGTCGTTTGGGGTATGTCTATCAGTTTTGCACATCGAGAGACTGGAATTCTTGCCCATTCTTCCTTGCAAAACAGCTCGAGCTCAGTGAGGTCAGTGCGTTTGTGAACAGCAGTCTTCAGCTCTTTCCACAGATTCTCGATTGGATTCAGGTCTGGACTTTGACTTGGCCATTCTAACCCCTGGATACGTCTATTTGTGAACCATTCCATTGTAGATTTGGCTTTATGTTTTGGATCATTGTCCTGTTGGAAGATAAATCTCCGTCCCAGTCTCAGGTCTTTTGCAGACTCCAACAGGTTTTCTTCCAGAATGGTCCTGTATTTGGCTCCATCCATCTTCCCATCAATTTTAGCCATCTTCCCTGTCCCTGCTGAAGAAAAGCAGGCCCAAACCATGATGCTGCCACCACCATGTTTGACAGTGGGGATGGTGTGTTCAGGGTGATGATCTGTGTTGCTCTTACGCCAAACATATCGTTTTGCATTGTGGCCAAAAAGTTCAATTTTGGTTTCATCTGACCAGAGCACCTTCTTCCACATGTTTGGTGTGTCTCCCAGGTGGCTTGTGGCAAACTTTAAAGACCTTATGACGGGTTTTTAAAAAAAAAAATAGTGGATATCAAAATTGCATGACAATGTCAATTTGAAAGAGATTCCGGCAAAAAAAATTCTATATTTTATAAAAAGAACGTGTTTTTCATGAATTTAAGTTGTCTATGCTCTAACCTGTGTGTGACGTCATAGCGGGTTACGCCCATGCATTGAAAACCATGGATCTATGCCACAGGACTGCCTTTTCTCTCTTCTCTCCACTGATACCCAACACAATACTGTACTCTACAGGATACAATTGCTCACTACACATAAATTGCCGTTTTGAGTGTGAAAAAGTGTCCGAGGTGGGATTTGAACCTGAGTATCTGGATTGGCAGTCCATCGACACAACCACTGGACTATCTCAGTATCAACGAAATGTTACATTCTAGTAGTTATCTTAGACTCGCTGTACATGGCCTTGTCATCTTGAATATCCGCGAAAAAAGAACGAATACCAAATTGTAAACAACTTACAGCGTTGAAACGTACCCGTTCTGACGTCACCAAGGGCTGTGAAGTTTTTTCGTTTCTAAGGGCGTTGCTATGGGGTTATTTCGATTTGGGGGGATCAGACAAAAAAAACAACTGATTTTGAAACCTTTAGTAGTTCTCTTCTAATATAAAATGGTATTAAAACTGTATTTCTAAATAAATCAAACCCGTCATAAGGTCTTTAAACGAGACTTTTTATGGATATCTTTGAAAAATGGCTTTCTTCTTGCCGCTCTTCCATAAAGGCCAGATTTGTGCAGTGCACGACTGATTGTTGTCCTATGGACAGACTCTCCCACCTTAGCTATAGTTATCTGCAGTTCATCCAGAGTGATCATGGGCCTCTTGGCTGCATCTCTGATCAGTCTTCTCCTTGTTTGAGATGAAAGTTTGGAGGGATGGCCGGGTCTTGGTAGATTTGCAGTGGTCTGATACTCCTTCCATTTCAATATAATTGCTTGCACAGTGCTCCTTGAGATGTTTAAAGCTTGGGAAATCTTTTTGCATCCAAATCCGGCTTTAAACTTCTCCACAACAGTATCTCGGACCTGCCTGGTGTGTTCCTTTGTCTTCATGGTTCTCTCTGCGCTTTAAACAGAACCCTGAGACTATCAAAGAGCAGGTGCATTTATACGGAGACTTGATTACACACAGGTGCATTCTATTTATCATCATCAGTCATTTAGGACAACATTGGATCATTCAAAGATCCTCACTGAACTTCTGGAGTGAGTTTGCTGCACTGAAAGTAAAGGGGCCGAATAATATTGCACGCCCAACTTTTCAGTTTTTTATTTGTTAAAAAAGTTTAAATTATCCAATAAATTTCGTTCCACTTCACGATTGTGTCCCACTTGTTGATTCATGACAAAAAATTAGAATTTTATATCTTTGTTTGAAGCCTGAAATGTGGCGAAATGTTGAAAGGTTCAAGGGGGCCGAAAACACTGCATCTAAAAAATAGAGGGGGTTTTTATCACACCCCTTATTTTCTCTTGCAGGCTACAGTACCAGATACAGGACACACGTTATGTACAAGTGGATATTCTGAGATGTTGTCATTGTTCCCTCTTTCATAACATACTCAGAGATGATTAAACTAAGATCTTATGTTGCCCGTGACTCGCCCTCGTTGTTCCCATCACTGAACACTACATGGTTTTTTATGTACTGTTCCTATCATGTTTTGTTCAGCACTTTGAGTTGCCTTGTCTATGAACTGAGCTATACAAATAAACTTGCCATGTTAGTCACATTTTACTCTCGCCATGAACAGAGCGGACATATTTTAGACCATGAGTCACCAGCCGCAATAACCCCGAAAGCAAGAAACTGTTATGGCACTAAGTCAGAGTTTGTGTGTGTACAGCGACAATAGATGGAAGACTTAATAACGTTAAGAGGAAAACAATAACAGTTGATCATGATAATCACAAAATCCTCTATGGCATGAGGTTTATTGTGTGGCAGGCAAAGAAAAAGGATTGGATTTTCTGTTCACATTAGTAGACATTATTTCAAGTTTTAAAATATGAAATGCCAGACAGTGGGGCTCAAGATGATGTTGAATGATCAAATAGATAATTTCATGGGAAAATATTCAGACAAACTCAATATATATTTGGTTTACTGACCTCACATTCGGTTATTTGACGCATATTGTTTTGATGATGTATTTGAAAATCCAGATATGAGCCATAAATATTGACCAATTAGATGCCTTCTTTCGCTGAGGAAACTCCTGCTTGCCTTAGCAAACCATATAGAGAGATTATATACATATTTTATACTTGTCCTTTGAGTATAGCTATTGTGCTGTGTGCTCCTCATTCCTACTGTTCTATAACTTGTGACGCAACACTGACATTTCTCCACTGTGCGGCAAATAAAGGATCTCTTAATCTTAATCTCATATTAGCAACATGTTTGTCCCTGATACAAAGGCAAATGGCCATATAAGGAAATTGGCTCCAGCTAGCGTATGTTCAAATTGGCTTCTTCCTGATTCGAAAAAAACACAATGCATGACTCCACTGGTAACATGCGGTCTATGGTCGTATCGTACGTTGACGCTCTTTCCTTTCTCAAACAGATCTGGACGACAGCTCAGTGAGGTCTTTGTCCAGTTACCCTCAAGGAAGGAGCTCCCAGAGTATTACGAGCTCATCCGAAAACCTGTGGATTTCAAGAAGATCAAGGTACTGTGTCTTCAGACGAGAGAAACTACAGATGGACAGAAAATAATGAAATGTATCTCTTTTTTTAGGAGCGTGTACGAAACCACAAATACCGAAACGTGGGAGATCTGGAGAAGGATGTGATGCTGCTTTGTTACAACGCTCAGACTTTCAACCTCGAAGGGTCTCAGGTCTGGATTATTATTATTTTGTATCCATCCATCCATCCATTATTTTGTATTTCTTTATTAAGGAAGCACATGTTGTAGTACCGTATATGTACTGCCGCAGTGTATTTTAATGAGGGAGGCTTGATAATATTGGCGGTTGATAATTATTCCAGATAATATAAACATTTAAGAAACTATTTATCATTAAAACATGAAATGCTTGACAAAATTCTGTCAAGATTGTTTTAAATAAAAAGATAAATAAAAAAGCCTAATATTTTTACTCCTCTCAGTGTAGAAACTTTTTGCTTCAATGACTTCACTTCTTACAGAGTGGTCGATAATCCTCTGTGTTTTTGCACGGCGTAGATTTTTGAGGACTCCATCGTGCTCCAGTCCGTGTTCAGAAGTGCCAGACAAAAGATCGCCAAAGAAGAGGAGAGCGAAGACGACAGCGACGATGATGATGACGAGGATGACGAGTCGGAGTCTGACGGTGAGAGCAAATATGACGGGTGACCTCAAAGACAGCCACAACTGTCCAAACACCAGCCACTCACACAAGTTCGCTTCACTGCACCTTCTTTTCCTCTAAAACAGTGGTTCCCAAAGTGGGGGTCGCAAGATGATTTCCAAAAAAAAAAAAACAAAAAAAAAACATTTTGCTAATTAATAGCCCTTAAATATTGATTTAGCATTTGATTTGATTCAAAAGGACTACTTGTTAAATTGTGTTAGGAGAATATAAAATATTTAAATTACGTTTGTAATTTTGTCCAGTCATTGACAGTGTCAATCAAAATCAAGTTACGCAGCTTACGTCACGCAGCGACAAAGCGTGTCCAGCTGTTGTTTGCTAAAACTAAAGGTGTTTGGAGGCTTCAAACAAATAATACCTGCTTTAAAATGAAACGTGGTTAATATCCACAACAGAAAAACCCGGAGGGGGAGAAAAGTCACATGTGAGGTCAGGCTGATGGTGCGAAGAGAGGGAGAGAGGGCAGCGGAGGGAGAGAGGGCAGCGGAGGGAGCGAAGGCAGCGGTAGAAGAGGGTGGTAAAGAGGCCCAGCTTTTCGGAGTCAGTGGTAAAGAGGTCCGCACATTAAAAGCGGGTGGCTGCTTTATGCTGTTACTTACAGTAACTTTGAAAAAAGAAGCCGCGGGGATGAAGCGCATAAAGTAACAGCAGAAAGCGGCCGCCCGCTTTTTATGTGCGGACCTCTTTACCGCTGACTCCGAAAAGCCGGGCCACTTTACCGCGGTACGAGAACAGAGAGGGCGAGCCGCAAGAAATGCGCTCCACTTCTGCTAAGAAGGGAGCCCACCAAGCCCATCACTGTGTCACTACGTGAGTAAAAATACGCAAGCCTCCTTTTTTGGGCTGGACAGTGCAGCTCAGTAGTGGCGCGAGTCTCTGCGTTACTCCGTATCAAGGAAATACATGCTCATTGACGGGAAGGACTGTTGAGGTGGGGGGTCGCGGGGGAGCAGCGCATTTATGATGGGGGTCGCGGGCTAAAAACTTTGGGAACCCCTGCTCTAAAACACCTCAAAAACTCAAACTTTCTCACTTTTGGAACTCTAGCAAATGGCTGGACTCTTTGTGAAACTCAGACCCTGTAGTTTTGGCCACTTGTTGACCCATTTTGCTCTAATTGTACGTGGGAACAATCTCTGCTCAACTCAAACTTATTTTTTTTTAGATTTGCCTCGTAAATATACAAATCTAGTATAACCTATAACATTGTGCTCGAATAGAAATTGAACAATATGGCTTTATACCAGCTAAACAAAAAACGTAAGGTTACTTAACATAACCCTGGTTCTTTGATGACAGAGTGAAGTGTTGAGTCACTACTTTGAGATACAAGAACTCCTGCGACTGAACACTACAGAGAGAGCGGCTGAATTGGAACAAGTTATTTACTATTAATGGACTCGGGGTGTTTTTTAATCTTAAATGTTGCAGAAGCACTTTTTTCCTATATGCACTGCCTTGAGTTGAATTTTAGTGTTGAATGAAGAGAAGACGAGATGTTTATCATTTCACAGTTGAATTATCATTTTTGTAGATAATTAAAACTAATAAGACAGAAGCACTGACTCCTCTTTAAGAAATTTTTGTTTGTAGTCGTTTTTGGGGGGTTGTTTATCCTGTAGAGACATCTAGCTATCATATCTCGAGATGGAGAATACTATATCGAGATATTGTTTTTCTCCATATCCCCCAGCCCTATTTTGTGTGCTCTGTCTTGTGTGTGCCCTGCAACAATGGAATTTCCCTAAATTTCCCTAAATGGCACTAAAATGTCCACCTACACTGGGTTAGTGTCTCAGTATCAGGTCGTGTTAGCAGAGAGGAGACCTTGAGTTTTCCAATACATCTTAAAAACGTATTAAAAGTTTTTCAATTTTACAAGTGTTTTTGCACTGTGAAAATCAAGCTGATCCTCTTCCACTTGCCTTTTAACTATTAACATTTAGCTTCTTTTGGAGGGATTTTGCCACTCCGATGGATAAACTTTAAGTGAGTTTTTACGTCTGTGAGTTGAGTGGAATGCTACGTGTCTTTCGGGCCGCAAAACGGGAAAAGAGTAGAAGATGGTTTCAAAATGATTTGAGTTTTTAAATGGGAGTGCAAAGGAATAATCGACCGAATCGCTACTTTAAAACTTCTGTTTAAAAACTTGTGTCATTGTTTTGGTCTTGTGTTGAAAATGATTTTGTTTTCAGTTTTTCCCAAGTCTGTTGGTGTTCAGTTCCTTTTCAATGCTTTCATCTCTTTGAACAGACTGAGCTTCAGGCGCAGAAAAATCAACAAATATGTCATTGATATAGTGTCTATTTTCTATCCCACAGTGACGGGGAATTAGTGTATTTTATGTAAGAAATGTGTTTCCGTAGTCACAATTAGCAAATCGCAAATACTGTAATCATGAAATAAATATTGGACAAAAGATAAACAAATGAATCACTTGCATTTGAGAAACTTTCTCTTGATTGAGTTTATTTGGACAATTTGTAAAGAGAAAGCAAGTAAGCTGATAATTTATGTAAACTGTTAACATTTAAGAATCTTATGAGAAAAGATAATTCAATCGTGTCAAAGTAGTTACTCTTGTCGATCAATAAAGTCTGTCTCAGTCTATGAACATTTATTTATAATTTTTGCGGTGAATCTTGTATTTCTATGAGTTTGTACTTTAGGTCAGGACTCCAAAACATGAAGTCAATCTGAAATGTGTGTCTAATGTTTTCGACAAAATTACACAGTAAAAGGTGTGTCAAAAATGGTATCGCAACATCACATCAGGATCTACTGTATGCCGGACCATGACTGACGCCCCCTGCAGGACACTCTGTCTACTCTGGAGAGCAGCTTCAGTGACAGACTTATTCACCCTCCCTCGCTGTGTGAAGGAGAGGTTCTGTAGGTCTTTCCTTCTTGCTGCTGTCAGACTGTACAATGAGAACTGCTGAGCCTGTACATGGCATTCATTTGTAAATACTCAATGCTGTAATCCTTGGGCAATGTGCAATACTGCAATTATCCTGCCCTATATATATACAACTTTGCACTATATAGAAAGAGATATATAGATATAGTGATATTGAAGTAGTTACAGCTAGCTAAGAAACATGTGTGCTTTGTGTGCTCGCTCTTACTAGTAGTGTCCTGTATGTGTGCTACAATATTTAAATCTCCCCACTGTGGGACGAAGAAAGACCTTACAGCTTGTGCTTTTTGGCAGTACACGTTCTTGTGGTGCTACTGTTGTTTGACTTGTGTGACGCGGACACATCTAATCGTGTCATGTCTTGTTCCTCCTCCTCACAGCAAAGTCGATGCGCGTCAAGATCAAGCTGAACAAAGAATCTCGCGGCCACGACAAGGGGAAGAAGCGCTGCAGCCGCGGGAAGGCCAAGCCGGTGGTCAGCGACGACAGCGACGACGACCAAGACGACAATGTAGGTCACCACTCTCCTGGAGGTGCACTCCTGGAAACACAACACACAATGGAACTGAGGCTTTGACACAGATGGGGACAGGTCACAGGCTACTACCTCCTTTTACTTTATAATCAGGTGTTCGGTTCGCAGGGGGCACATATCCCCACGGGGACACTAAGGTGGAAATGTAACCTTTACCTATTTTAGCTTTAAAGGGGATATATGTAAGATTTTAAATTACAGATACAGCTCATATCTATTCAATTCAATGTTTTTTTGTATAATCACAACAGAAGTTGTCCAGGAGGACTTTATACAACTGTTGAATTCGCCAAAACAGATCAGAGAATCAAACCATTCAAACAGAAGAAATAAAACAGAAAACACGTTGGTATTGGTCCATTAGGGGCAGCTGACCAATGTTCATAAATGTGGTTAAATGTCGAGTGGCCTGGCTATTTTTTTAATTTTATTTTGTCTTTATTTGAAGGGACATTTTACAGAGACATTGAGCTCAAAGACAGATATGTTCTGCACCAGATTTTAGCTAAACAGCTAGTTTCCATCTGCAGTCCCTGGTTACATAAATATAATACATGGATACAGTAATGCACGGACCAATAGAAATACCATCGCAATATGGTATTTCTATTGGTCCGTGTGTTGAAGTGAAGTGTGTTTGTTAAACCACACATCATTCACAGCATCACACATGCACAATACATCACACAACCATATCAATGTTTGATGCACAATCCATCCATCCATTTTCTTTCCCTTAATCCATTTCTGGGTCGAGGGGGTGGCAGTCAGAGCTGCACCCAGTACACAGAGCACCAGCCCCTCACTGATCCTCCTGCAGGTTGTGAGTCCACAGGAGCTGAGATCTTTCAGTGGGGGCTTCGGGCAAAGGGGGGTTAAGTGTCTTTCCCAAGAACACAACGACAGCAGACATCAGTGGGAGTTGTGAAGTTGGTCTCGTGGTGGATTCGAACCTACGACCTTGAGGCCCAAAGGCCGATGCTCTACCAACTGAGGCACTGTCGCCACAACAATACATTCAGATGATATACAGTGCTTTGCGAAAGTATTCGCAGTACCTTTCAACATTTTGCCACAATTCAGTCTTCAAACATAAAGATATACAATTTTAATTTTTTGTCATGAATCAACAACAAGTGGGACACAATCGTGAAGTGGAACGAAATTTATTGGATAATTTAAACTTTTAAAAAAAATAAAAAACTGAAAAGTGGGGCGTGTAATATTATTCGGCCCCTTTACTTTCAGTGCAGCAAACTCAGTCCAGAAGTTCAGTGAGGATCTTTGAATGATCCAATGTTGTCCTAAATGACTGATGATGATAAATAGAATGCACCCGTGTGTGATCAAGTCTCCGTATAAATGCACCTGCTCTTTGATAGTCTCAGGGTTCTGTTTAAAGCGCAGAGAGAACCATGAAGACAAAGGAACACACCAGGCAGGTCCGAGATACTGTTGTGGAGAAGTTTAAAGCCGGATTTGGATACAAAAAGATTTTCCAAGCTTTAAACATCTCAAGGAGCACTGTGCAAGCAGTTATATTGAAATGGAAGGAGTATCAGACCACTGCAAATCTACCAAGACCCGGCCGTCCCTCCAAACTTTCATCTCAAACAAGGAGAAGACTGATCAGAGATGCAGCCAAGAGGCCCATGATCACTCTGGATGAACTGCAGATAACTACAGCTGAGGTGGGAGAGTCTGTCCATAGGACAACAATCAGTCGTGCACTGCACAAATCTGGCCTTTATGGAAGAGTGGCCATTTCTCAAAGATATCCAATAAAAGTCTCTTAAAGTTTGCCACAAGCCACCTGGGAGACACACCAAACATGTGGAAGAAGGTTCTCTGGTCAGATGAAACCAAAATCAAACTTTTTGGCCACAATGCAAAACGATATGTTTGGCGTAAAAGCAACACAGCTCATCACCCTGAACACACCATCCCCACCTCAGCTGTAGTTATCTGCAGTTCATCCAGAGTGATCATGGGCCTCTTGGCTGCATCTCTGATCAGTCTTCTCCTTGTTTGAGATGAAAGTTTGGAGGGATGGCCGGGTCTTGGTAAATTTGCAGTCGTCTGATACTCCTTCCATTTCAATATAATTGCTTGCACAGTGCTCCTTGAGATGTTTAAAGCTTGGGAAATCTTTTTGTATCCAAATCCGGCTTTGAACTTCTCCACAACAGTATCTCGGACCTGCCTGGTGTGTTCCTTTGTCTTCATGGTTCTCTCTGCGCTTTAAACAGAACCCTGAGACTATCAAAGAGCAGGTGCATTTATACGGAGACTTGATCACACACAGGTGCATTCTACTTATCATCATCAGTCATTTAGGACAACATTGGATCATTCAAAGATCCTCACTGAACTTCTGGAGTGAGTTTGCTGCACTGAAAGTAAAGGGGCCGAATAATATTGCACGCCCCACTTTTCAGTTTTTTATTTGTTAAAAAAGTTTAAATTATCCAACAAATTTCATTCCACTTCATGATTGTGTCCCACTTGTTGTTGATTCATGACAAAAAATTAAAATTTTATATCTTTATGTTTGAAGCCTGAAATGTGGCGAAATGTTGAAAGGTTCAAGGGGGCCGAATACTTTCGCAAGGCACTGTATTTAAATAACACATTCAGTGCCTTTCACATCATCACCCCAGTCTTTATAGTTAGACCCTCACAAGGCTCTAACTTCCTGCATCATCAAGGTATAACCTTAAACCCAGTGGGACTTGGGCTACAGCACGATGTTTCCAGACACTACATTGTTATTGTCGCTTGTGTAATGTGTGTGTGTGTAGTTTAATAACCCTCTTCACCTGACCCACATGTAATCAACGAGGTATAAAACTCGGAGCTCAGAGTAGAGCCACTGCTTTTCCATGTCGAGGCCGAGCCAGTTGAGGTGGCTCGAGCATCTCCCTGCGTGCCGTTAGAAATGACGTAATCTCACCTTATACATTTTTAAAAAGGGGCTCGTTAAAATAATGTGAAAAGAATTGATTTTCTATATAATACTCTTTGATGTGATAAGGCTTAAAATATTGGAACACCGGTCGAAAATATTTTCTTTTTTCATTTTTTTTCATTTATTTCAGGCAATGGCACAAATATGTACAGGGTTGACAAAGTGCAAGTGGATGAATATAAAGAATATAAAGAATAAAGAATGTACATTAGATACTGCATGTAAATAGCTACATGTGGCACAGTGGTTAGAAGAAGAAGGTCTTGGGTTCGATTCCACATCCCTCAGTGGAGTTTGCATGCTCTCCTTGGGTCTGCATAAGTTTCTTCCAAATGCTCCATTTTCCTCTACTACTAAAAACCTGTTCAATAGATCTGGACATGCAACTCTGGTCCGCTTGGCCTCCCCGCTTCTATCGCTTGTGGAGTAAAAAATGTGGAGGAATTATGAAGGAAAAAATGCCCATACCCATTTTAAAGCGGTTTGTGACTCTCCTGCATGCGCAGTATAAATAAAGATTTCTTACTCACTTACTGCTTTACAGGCCGCCTCAAAGCGCTACACTGAGTTCTCTAATGTAATCCTTAACTCCTCGCTCTGGTGACGATAGTGAGGCTTCTGTGCTTACCTCCTGCTGCTGTATTTCTGTGTTCTCGCTGCTTTGACACAGCAGCCGTCCGACCCCCACAAATACCAAAAACTTTTGATATTCCTTGGGTCGCACAATCAGCAGTCAGGCGTTCAAAGGGAGCAGGTTCTACCAGTTTGCAACCCCCCCGTAGACTGGACGACAGGGCACAATCACAGTCGGGAGCCCCTTCCTTACACACTAAGCAGTAACCCCAGCTTATGACCTGGAGTTTATTGCAGAGACATGTTTTCACTCCAACCAAACATAGCTGTAACTTTGACAGAACTGTTTTAGGCTGTTGCTTACATGCGAGTCAGGTGGAGAAGAATTTAAAACTACACACACATCACACTAAGGACAATACTTTGCATCATGACTGCATAAAAAGCTGTGTTAAAAGAGTGAAGTTTGGGCTTTTGCACATGTCACCCTTTCCTTTATGAAGTTGTCCATGTCAACAAAAATGTGTATGTTTTAAAATGTGCAGCTCAATAAGCTTTATGGTGCTTTCAGACCGGCAACGCTGAAACGCACGTTCTCTAGTTTTCAGACGCAGGGGTCTTCAGACCAGAGGTCCTGGCGCGCGCCGGAAGTGGCGGAAGTAGCCGGCGGGCTCTGATGCTAACAGAGTTTAGCTAGCGGCTTCTTGTGTACAGATCTTCTCCAATAATGCAGCTTTGCAGCGTGTCTGTGTTCAGAGACCTTCCACGGACTTTGTATAACAGTAGGAGGTGCGCAATAAGTTTATTTTATTATTCAACGGTACTTCCGCATTGGCAAACAAAACTCGAAGCAGTTGCATAAAGTGACGGGAGCATGAAAACTCACATGTTAACAAGTTTACAAGTATTTTCAGTCTGCTCGCTCAGTCCGCTAATGTCCCCGTGAACACTTTACGGCTCTCTGATTGGTTGCTGCACGAACGTCCCGAGGAAAGGTTATGCAAAATTCATCTCCTGCGTTCCTCCCCTTCCACTTTCCAGCGTGCATTCCGAGACGTTTGTGCGTTTTGACGCTCGAACGCGCATCACCATTGACTTTGCATTGAAAGCAAGCTGGGAATTATCCTTTACAAAGCAGTTACAACTCATAGGAATTAGTAGTGTGTAGAATGGGTGGCGACCTAACGGTATTCATGATATATCAAGATATTCTTTCAACTCAATTTTGACATATCGTACATACCGATATAATGTTTATATTTCACTTTTGCTGCTTTGCTCGTTTGCCTTCTCCTTCTCTGCACACGGCTGCTTACCCCTTCCTGCTATTGCAGAAGCACTGCCTTGAATTGATTGAATTGAGACGTTTTATTTTTGAATGAAGAAAAGATGTCATATTTAGATTCTTCATTTATTTGACAGTGAAATGATCATT